TATATATCTATATTACTCACATTATGTATTTACATTACTCACATTATGTATTTACATTATTCACATTATATATCTATATTACTCACATTATATATTTACATTACTCACATTATGTATTTACATTACTCACATTATGTATTTACATTATTCACATTATATATCTATATTACTCACATTATATATTTACATTACTCACATTATATATCTATATTACTCACATTATGTATTTACATTACTCACATTATGTATTTACATTACTCACATTATATATCTACATTACTCACATTATGTATTTACATTACTCACATTATATATTTACATTACTCACATTATATATCTATATTACTCACATTATATATCTACATTACTCACATTATGTATTTACATTACTCACATTATGTATTTACATTACTCACATTATGTATTTACGTTATTCACATTATATATTTCATAGCAATACTTTCAATAATCTTCTGCGCACTGAAGTCCTCCACCAAATTAGAGAGTTTGATACACCATTTTCTATAGACAACGATTCTAATTTTTCTTGAGACACGGTAAAAGTTTTAATTAGCTAGAGGCGAGAAGAAACTTCTTTGTGCCAAAGGAACAGTAGCTTAAATAGTCAAGACTCTGCCAAGTGTTACATATACGTTTGGGTAGCGCTCACGTAAGTCATTTTCTTAGATAAATTTCAACACACAGTTTCAATTGGTATTAGGTGGTATAATCCTACAAAGTTCTTCGTGTACCTCTAATTCACTGACTTTAATCATACGAATGCTGCAAAATCCGTTCCTCTGTATAAGTACGAAGTTTCGATATACGTATAAAAACCCGAAAATGTCCGCATGGTTATTAAGAGCCACAAAACTGGTTTTAGTACTTATAAAAATTGTATCAATGATAACATTAGTGTAATGAATCTTGAATGCTTATTTAGATCACATGGCCAGGTGGTTAGGGCGCTCGACTCGCAATCTGTGGGTTGCGGGTTCGAATCCCTGCCACACCAAACATGTTCGCCCTTTCAGCCGTGGGGGCGTTATAATGTGACGGTCAATCCCACTATTCGTTGGTAAAAGAGTAGCCCAAGAGTTGGCTGTGGGTGGTGATGACTAGCTGCCTTCCCTCTGGTATTACACTGCTAAATTAGGGACGGCTAGCGCAGATAGCCCTCGTGTAACTTTGCGCGAATTTCAAAACAACCAAATATATTTAGATTATTACTATATTCGTTTGTTTGTTTGTAGTTGAGCATAAAGCTACACAATGGGCTATTTGTACTCTGCCCACCACGGGTATCGAAACCCGGTTCCTAGCGTTATAAGTCCGCAAACATACCGCTGTGCCACTGGGGGCTACTATATTCGTCCTCACTTCCACGATTAAACATTTTTTCACTTTATTCGCTGTCGCCATTTTTTTTTTAAATCTTTTTTCCATATCTCAACTTTCCGCCAAATTGTTGGCAGTTGAAATTGCCGACTCAAAGCCTGTTGATTTATATTTACCAATTCATTTAGAAAAAAATATATATTTTTATGCGCTTTACACTGCTGTCCAAATACAGGTTATTACTCTGCCATAACTTACTAATAGTATTTACGTTTATTAAAAGATCAGACC